CAGAAGGTATGGCCAAATGTGAAAGCCAAGAGTTGGGGATACAGCTCAGTGGCTGTGTATACACTCAGCATAAGTATACACTCAGTCTAAGTTTAACTGCCAGGACCCACATTATATAAATAGTGAATATAAAACTCTTTTTCATTATTAGTTTAGGAACCTGATATTAGAAAATAGATCTATCTTTTTTCTATTGATTGAAATTGAGTTGACTAACATAAGCACTCTAGGCATGTTTTTATTCTTTTTTTGGGGTCTACCTAACAAGAATATTCTACTAGTATGTCCATAACCACCATGGATTAAGAGCTTATATATAGATTCCATTATAATTATTGTAATGGCAAGGTACAGTGTACTCCATTCATATATTGAAAGGGGTTTTAAATCATGAGCCTATCATAGAGCAGTTTGAGATCCTTAGCCAAAGAACAGTTGATGAATGTGTTGACCACACCAGTAGTCACAATAAGGCACCATGTAGAGATCTTAAGTAAAGACATGACTAAAATCAGATAAAAGTACCTTGAAGTTTGTGTGAGCAATTTGCAAATTTCGCACACACACTTTCAGAGTTTTGTTGGAGAAACAGATGTTTAAGCTGAGGATTTAAAGGTGAGAAAGAATCAATCAGGTGAGGGCAAAAGAATATCTCAGCAGACAGAGGATGTAAGTGCTAGACTCATGGATCCATGGTGCATTCAGGGAACCAGAAAGTCAGTTTAAGGGAGACAATGGGAAGAGACGAGGCCAGGGAAGTCGGTGGGGACTAAATGAGAATGTTCCTCTAAATCAAATTAAGAACTTTCCACATTTATGGACAAGAGAACATCATGAAGTGACTTATTATACTGTAAATAGACATCCATCCATAGGGAGAGGGTTCATTCACCTTATTTCCCACCATTCTGTGTGTTCTAGGGTAGGGGTGGGCATTGACCCTACTCTTAGAGACACACCTAATCCCTTCACCCTAGTCCTGTGAATCTGCCAGGATCTATTTGCTTTGCTTTGTCTTAGCTCATTCCTTATTTTTAAAGTCTTAGCATGAAAGCTTAGTTCTCAGAGAGATCTTTCCTCATCACCACATAATTACAACCCCAGCTTCCATATGTCTCTCTGTTTCTACCCTGCACTTGGTTCCTTGTAACATTCATCATAAATTGGAACTAGAGTTTTCTCGAGGGACTGAAGCAAACATTCCCTCCCCCTGATTTAAAAAGCATAGACACTGCCTGTGTTAAGATGTGCTCACATTACCTCCAGGACTGACCAAGTTAGAGAGAGTTGACAGTTTGTTCCATGCATACACAGATCTTGCAGTATGGGCTAGGGTCACAGCAGTGGAATAATTCTAGAAACATTTGCAAGATATCAGTGAGATCAGATGGTTGGAAAGGGAAAACCCACGAATCTCCAGGTTTCAGCGACTTTCAGAGTCTCCAAAGGAATTGAAAGAACTATTAATGGCTGCTAATGGAAATCATACAATAAACAATCTCAGAAAGATTGCTCCAAAGCCATATAAAGACTCTAAAGCTATTATTAATAGTTAAACTGCAACAGTGCAATGAGCAGGAAAAGAATACTGATTTATAGCCTGGAAAAGGATTTCAAAATGTTGCAATCAGAAGCAAATGATCAGTGGGTTTTAGAAGCAGAGCAATTCCTTGTTTGATGGCGATCACTCAAGCAATTCTTCAGTTTCAAAATAGAGCAAAAGTAGGTTTAAAGTTTGAGTGACACTGGGTTGTCAAAGTTGAGTAAGATTTTAGGATAGGATAGTGCTAACTAATGCTATCCATAGTTGCATAACTAAAATACCAATACAAATATCTTCCATGACCCTTATAGTGTTTAGAAAAACAATAAAATGGTAACCTTAAGAATATACACAGCAATAGTTAGTTTATGAGTTCTTTTGTACATGGAGTGCCCATTTTGATTATTAGTTCTTTGTGAAGTGGATTTTATTGGTCAAGTGACTTACCCAGTATCATACAGTTAATTAATCACTGAGCAGGTCTCTGATAGAAAATATACTAGAACACTACAGTTTCAATTTGGACAGTTTCCTAAAAGGCCCATGTGTAAAAGACTTCCCCAGCTTGGTCCAGCAGGGGTGGGAGTGGAGGGGTGGGGTGGGGGAGGTGGTAGAATCTTCAAGATGTGGTACAAGAGGAACATCTTTAGGCCAGTGGGAATGAGCCCTTGAAGGAGTTTGTAGGAGCCAGGGCCCCTTCTTTTTCCTTACTTCATGTCTTAGCTCAGAGCTAGACAGTTTTCTTCAGTTGTGTGCTCTCAACTCTGAGTGTTGCATCCCAAGTAACAGGCTCATTCAAAATGATGAGCCAAAATAGACACTTTTGTCTTTATAAGTTATCTCAGAAGTTTGTTGAAGTAATAGAAAGCTATCATTTTACAGACGAGGAAAAGTGCTCCAAAAGAACTTGTCTGTTTCTACAGTGACTGGAATCAGTGGAATCAAGGCGATACAAAAAATAGAGCCTATGCATCGGGTGTGACAGACTCTTTGGAGGCAGATCAGATGACATCGAACCCCGCCCATGAGGTCACTCTCTGCTGTTCAGCTACTCCATTCCCACGCCTTTCTCTCTGTGCCTCAGGGAAAGCAAGCTTCACTCTCAGTGCTGCCACGGACTAAGTGGAGTTATGGCAGAGGTCCACATCATGTTACCCAGGTGACTCTACAGACCTGCATAGACTCTGAATCAAGACCTGGTCCTCCATCTGTCCTTCAACACTGACTGCTTCTGACAAATTTTATTTAAAAAATTGTGCTTCAGAGAGAAGAAGGAGGGGAGATGTCTGTGCCACCACATCCAGGAACCATTCCTGGTCCATCCATTGTGAGGTGACCTCAAGATCTTCAAGGATCCTGTGTGTTTTCTGGTTGTCATGATGAACAGATTTTTTTTGCCAACACTTAGTGTGTGAGATCAGAAATGAAAAGGTCAGTCCTGCAAAGGGAAGCCAGACAGCCTCACTTCTCATTAGGGCCTTCTCTAGGACAAACAGACTGAATGGGAACCCCTTCAATGCCATCACAAAGAATTTAGATTTTAATCTCAAGAAAGATGGTAAATATTGAGTCTAGAGCAGTGGTTCTCAACCTGTGGGTTGCAACCCCTTTGGGAGTCAAATGACCTTTTCACTGGGATTTCCTATCACATATCCTGCATATCAGATATTTATATTATTGTAACAGTAGTAAAATTACAGTTGTGAAGTAAAAATAAAATAAATTTATGGTGGGGGTCACCACATGAATAACTGTACTATAGGGTCACAACATCAGGAAGGTTGGGAACCACTGATCTATAGTGACTTCCAGATTTTTGGTTTAGGCAGTTGTCTGGGAAGTAGATCTAATTACTGAGGCTAGGGACATGGGGAGAAGCAGCAGGAGGAACATGGCTAAAAAGATGATTTCACACCCGAACATCAACATGTGGGTGAGGTTTTCAAGGGTGGGTTGGGAGGCACTGAATAGTTCCGTGGAGAGGTCTGAGAAGATATCTTAATTTGGACCTTAGAGTGTCAGGGGTAGGTGCCATCATGGGCATGCTTGGAGAATTTTGGATTATCCAAGGTCAATTTTTAATCTCAGGCAGGTTTTCCCGCTTCCTACTCAGTGTGTTCACAGGAAACACCAATTAAGATTAATTTCAACATAAGTAAAACATAATTAGCAAGATAAATTTGCTGCCAAAAATATAATGAACTCCAAGATGAAATGTAAAATGCTTTAAGCTCACTTCTCTGATATTTTATGTGATGCTTTATCTTTTTTAGTTTGTGTGTATCTGCCTATTCTCGTGTGTGTGTGTGTGTGTGTGTGTGTGTGTGCACACGCGCGTGCGTGCACACACACATGTGGAGGTCCAAGGTCAAGTGTTGTTGCTTAGGTGATACCCTTTTATTTTCTTGAGACAGGGGTCTCTCACTGTCCCCAAGCTTGCTGATTAGGTTAAATGGCTGGTCAGTGAGCCTCAGAGACATTCTTGTCTGTGCCTCTCCATGGGTAGAAGGGATTACAAGTGAATGACACTTGTTATGCATGTCAAACACTTTACCAAAAGAGTCATCTCCCCAGCCCATGACGCTTTGCCTGTGTTCATCCTAAAGACATGCTAAGTCAAAGCAGAAAATATTTTAGAGATTTCAACGTGTTCAGAAAAGTTTTCTTGTATTTTTGGTTGTGAGCCTAGCCTTTAACTGCTGAGCTATCTCTCCATCCCCGGAAAACTTTATTGAAGGATGACATAGTTAGCTTCAGTTATCAACCTGGCACACCTGGAAAGAGGAGCCCTCAATAGGGAAACTACATCCACTGGATTAGTCTGCGGGGCGTTTTCCTGAATGATAATTGATGTAGAAGGGTTCAGCCCACTGAGGGCAATTCCATCCCTATGAGGTAGTCCTGGACTACATAAGAAAGGTAGCTAAATGTGAGCCTGGGGCAAGCCAGTAATCTGGATTCCTCCGTGTTTCTGATTCAGTTCCTGCCTCCAGGTTCCTGCCTTAAGCTCCTACCCTGGTTTCCCGGATGATAGACTGTAACCTGTAAGACAAATGAACACTTTGTCTCCAAGATTTTTTTTTCTGTGGTCAGTGCTTTTATCAAAGCAGCAGAAGCTCAACCAGAACAAAAGCTCCCACTGGTTTTGCTTAGATGTTTTAGATTGTCTCTGGTTATTGTTTTCTTGTCATTTTTTCACATAGCTCTGTTTTCTGACTCACTGCAGAATAAGGTTCCCAGGTGGCTGAAAATTAGTACTATAACAGGACACATGATTCATTTATCCTTTACCTTGTTATGAAAGTTATATGGTCCCATTATTGACATGAAGGTTGCCTTTCTGGTTCAGCAAGAGGACAACATATGGCATGATTTTTCATTATCTAATGATTGAGCTTTGGAGGAGAAAACTGGGCAGCCGGAAGTAGCGGCGCATTAACCTACAGTGAGTAACTGGTTAAAACAATCAGAAGGTGTCATTTTAATAATAGCAATAATTCTGCCCACTTTCAGGAAAGCCAGTGTGCCCAGTTGGTTTTGTGTTGCTCTTGCAGAATGTGTAACACTCAGTAGCATGTGAGAAAACAAAGATTTACTTGTCTCATGATCCTGAAGATCCAAAAATGCACTGCCAACACTGGTGAGAGCCTTGTAGTGGATGACATCATTCGGCAGGACGTGACTAGCACACAGCAGAGCAGAGTGGAAGCAAGAAACCAGGTGGATGATGGGAACTGAACCCACATCCTCTGGAAGTACTTTAACTGCTGAACAATCTCCCCGATCTTCTTCCTTATTTTCTAAAAGAATAGAATATCTTTTATTTATGACTTGACAATTTCATACACATAAACAATGTATCTTGATCATCTCCACAGCCATTCCCTCTTTCTACTCTCCCCAGACACCCCTAACAAGGCCCCCCTCCCTGATTTGTGTCTTTTCCTTTGTTGTGTGACCTACTCTCTGAGCCCAGTTGGTGCTATATGTTGGAATGCTGACTGACCTTGGTGGCTTGACCTTGGTGCAGGCCTTGTGCAGGTCCCTGCAGCTGCAGTGAGTTCATGCGTGCACTCACATCCAGAAGAGACATTTCCCAGCACTCCTCCCCATCCTCCAGCTCTTACAATCTCCCCACATCACAGTATTCTATTATCCTGTGGTTGTGGGGGGTCAGTGACATGACTTAGATGGCCTATTGAGGACTGAGCAGTCGGCTGTCACTTATCCTCAGCACTTGGAATGACTGTGAACCTCTGTGTAACTGATGGCTATTGGGGAGAGGAACTTCTCCGGCCAAAATTGGGAGCTACACTCATATATGTATATAAACAAGTATCTGGAAGGATTTTGACTATATGACTATTTTGGGAGCAACCATAGCAGTTTAGTCCGTAGGGCCTGTCTGTGGACTTCCCAGCCACAGGCTTTTAACCAGTCTTACAGTACAAGGCATGGATTATCTCCTGTGGAGCAGGCCTTAATGCCAAACCAAAGCAGTTAGTTGTCCCAGAGAGTCACATCACACTATTATCACACCAGTGAGCACATCTTACCTGTGGAGTTCAGTGTTTGGTAATGCCACTGATGAGTTTTCTGCCTTAGTGTTCTCCATGGTACATTCGGCACTCTGAAACCTAGCCCGAGGGAGGAAATTTTCATGTCATTTCCAGCTTGGTTTCCCTATGTCCTGCAACCAAAGCGTGCTGTGTATCAGCAATAATGTCTTACCACATAATTTCTGTTGGGGGACCAAGAACCATAGCAATAGTCTATGTTGTCTGGGAACTGTCTGGGACCTCCTTGACCAGTTACTTATAGGGAGGTAACGCATATCTGGCACGGTTTTGATTTATGAGGTTTTTTATTTTATTTATTTGTGTCTTCTGGGGGAAACATTGTCTATCCAAACTCTTTTTTTGATAGACTTGTGAAGTCATGGGCTTCCATAGATTGCAAGCATATACTTGGCTTTGATCAGTTCACCACTCCTCTTCTCCCCTGTTCCTCCATCCCTATCCCCGCTTAAACCTCTAATCCTCAAAATTCCCTCCCTCAAGCTCCACTTGTTAAGATTCTACCATCTCCCCACTGACCCCACATCAAGGACCAAGCTTCTAATACATGAACCTGTTGGGGACAAAATACATCCACCTACTCTCCTCCCTCAATGCAAAGAGGTACGGTTTTGGAAAAGAGCAATTTGTTTTTATAAAACTCTCTGTTAGAAAAAGTTTCTTTACTCAAAGAATTTCTGGACCTTTTAGTATATGATAATGTCTCTATAGTTACTCAAAGATAAGGCTCTTAGTAGCTATTATTTCTCAAATGTACTTGATCAGAAACTCTTTGTTTAGATCACACTGCAAGGGAAATTTGTGTTTCTCGGGACGCATATTGTTCTAAATATTCTAAATGTTACTTTTTAAACAAACCATGTCTTTAGAATTGTAGGGACTTGACACAGGAAAGAGATCAGCTCCTCCAAGACCCCAACCCAGCGAGCCCAGCTTCAGGTGAGATTGGGTCCCCGGCTGGGACCACCCGCCCATCACCCATCCCCCTCCATCTTCGGGGCCGCTCCGGGCTTCCAGAAGAGCCGCCCACACAGGAAAGAGATCAGCTCCCCAAGACCCCAACCCAGCGAGTCCAGCTTCAGGTGAGATTGGGTCTCTGGCTGGGACCACCCGCCCATCACCCATCCCCCTCCATCTTCGGGGCCGCTCCTGGCTTCCAGAAGAGCCGCCCACACAGGAAAGAGATCAGCTCCCCAAGACCCCAACCCAGCAAGCCCAGCTTCAGGTGAGATTGGGTCCCCGGCTGGGACCACCCGCCCATCACCCATCCCCTCCATCTTCGGGGCCGCTCCGGGCTTCCAGAAGAGCCGCCCACACAGGAAAGAGATCAGCTCCCCAAGACCCCAACCCAGCGAGTCCAGCTTCAGGTGAGATTGGGTCCCCGGCTGGGACCACCCGCCCACCACCCATCCCCTCCATCTTCGGGGCCGCTCCCGGCTTCCAGAAGAGCCGCCCACACAGGAAAGAGATCAGCTCCTCCAAGACCCCAACCCAGCGAGCCCAGCTTCAGGTGAGATTGGGTCCCCGGCTGGGACCACCCGCCCATCACCCATCCCCCTCCATCTTCGGGGCCGCTCCGGGCTTCCAGAAGAGCCGCCCACACAGGAAAGAGATCAGCTCCCCAAGACCCCAACCCAGCGAGTCCAGCTTCAGGTGAGATTGGGTCTCTGGCTGGGACCACCCGCCCATCACCCATCCCCTCCATCTTCGGGGCCGCTCCTGGCTTCCAGAAGAGCCGCCCACACAGGAAAAAGATCAGCTCCTCCAAGACCCCAACTCATCGAGCCCAGCTTCAGGTGAGATTGGGTCCCCGGCTGGGACCACCCGCCCATCACCCATCCCCTCCATCTTCGGGGCCGCTCCCGGCTTCCAGAAGAGCCGCCCACACAGGAAAGAGATCAGCTCCTCCAAGACCCCAACCCAGCGAGCCCAGCTTCAGGTGAGATTGGGTCTCTGGCTGGGACCACCCGCCCATCACCCATCCCCCTCCATCTTCGGGGCCGCTCCCGGCTTCCAGAAGAGCCGCCCACACAGGAAAGAGATCAGCTCCTCCAAGACCCCAACCCAGCGAGCCCAGCTTCAGAAGAGCCGCCCACACAGGAAAGAGATCAGCCCCTCCAAGACCCCAACCCCAGCGAGGCCAGCTTCAGCTTCAGCTGCAGTAAAGAAGGAGACCAGTGGAGACAGAAAGCCCCCACCAGCACCCACTGGAAGAAGAGATGGGAAGAAGACAGAATAAGAGATCACTCAGCAATAGAAACACCAACACGACCCCACCAGAATCCAGGGATCCAACACCAGCAAGACCTGAAAAGCACTACATAGATGAAGAAGAGGAGACAGACCTTAAAAATTATTTCATGAAGATGATGGAGAGCCTCAAGGAAGAAACGAGGAAATCCCTTAAAGAAATAGAAGAAAAAACAAACAAAAAAATCCATGAAATGGGGGAAAAATTCAAGAAATAAACAAATCTCTCAAAGAATCTAAAGAGCACCAAGAAAAAACAACCAAGAAAATTAAGGAAACAGCTCAAACAGTTGAAGGATTGAAAGCTGAAATAGAAACGATAAAGAAAACACAGAATGAAGGGATGCTGGAAATAGAAAAGCTCGGTAAACGGTCTGGAATCACAGATGCAAGCATCACCAATAGAATACAAGAGATAGAAGAGAGAATCTCAGGTGTTGAAGACTCATTAGAGGACATAGCATCGTCAACCAAAGAAAATCTCAAAACCAACAAATCCTTAACACAAAATATCCAGGAAATATGGGACACCGTGAAGAAGCCAAACCTGAGAATAATAGGTATAGAAGAAGGTGAAGAACTTCAACTTAAAGGTACAGAAAACATATTCAACAAAATCATAGAAGAAAACTTCCCTAACCTAAAGAAAGATATGCCTATGAAAGTACAAGAATCTTACAGAACACCAAATAGGCTTGACCAGAAGAAGAAGTCACCTCGCCATATAATAATCAAAACATCAAACCTACAGAGCAAAGAGAAAATATTAAGAGCAGCTAAAGAAAAAGGCCAAGTAACATACAAAGGCAGACCTATCCGAATTACACCTGACTTCTCAATGGAAACGATGAAAGCCAGAAGATCCTGGTCAGATGTCCTACAAACGCTAAGGGAACAAGGATGCCAGCCCAGACTACTATATCCAGCAAAGCTCTCAATTACCATAGATGGAGAAAACAAAATATTCCATGACAAAGCCAGATTTAAACAATACGTATCCATGAATCCAGCTCTACAGAAAATGCTAGAAGGAAAACCTAGAGCCAAGGAAGATAACTACATTCACAAAGACACAGGCAATATAGAATCATACTTTACAAAACACTAAAAGAAAAAGGGAGGAGAAACTACACAAAATAACTTCACTAACAATAAATCAAGCGCAAACAAGGATCACCAATCAATGGTCATTAATATCCCTCAATGTCAATGGCCTCAACTTACCTATAAAAAGACACAGACTAGCAGAATGGATACGAAGACAGAACCCTTCCTTCTGCTGCATACAAGAAACACATCTCAACACCAAAGACAGACGTTATCTCAGAGTAAAGGGCTGGGAAAAGATCTTCCAATCAAACGGCCCCAAGAAACAAGCGGGCGTAGCAATCCTAATATCTAACAAATTAGACTTCAAATTAAAATCAATCAAAAGAGATGAAGAAGGGCACTTCATATTCATCAAAGGAAAAATACATCAAGACGAAGTCTCGATTTTAAATATCTACGCCCCAAATACAAAGGCACCTACATTCGTGAAAGAAACATTACTAAAGCTCAAAATGCACATAAAATCTCACACACTAATAGTAGGAGACTTCAACACTCCGCTCTCACCGCTAGATAGGACCTCCAGACAGAAACTTAACAAAGAAACAAAAGAATTAATAGAAGTTATGACCCAACTGGGTTTAACAGACATCTATAGAACATTCCACCCAAATACAAAGGGATATACCTTCTTCTCGGCACCACATGGAACCTTCTCTAAAATTGACCACATAATAGGAAACATAGCAAATCTCCACAGATACAAAAAAATTGGAATAACCCCCTGCATCTTATCAGACCACCATGCATTAACATTAGAATTCAACAATAACACAAATCGCAGAAACCCTACAAACTCATGGAGATTGAACAATGCACAATTGCACCATCCCTGGGTAAAGGAACAAATAAAAAAAGAAATTAAAGACTTCCTCGATTTCAATGAGAATGAAGACACAACATACACAAACTTATGGGACACTTTGAAAGCAGTGCTGAGAGGAAAGTTTATAGCACTAAGTGCCCACATGAAAAAACTGGAGAACAGTCATACTAGAGAATTAATAGCACAGCTGAATGTTCTAGAACAAAAAGAAGCAAACTCCCCCAGGAGGAGCAGACGCCAGGAAATAATCAAATTGAGGGCTGAAATCAATCAAGTAGAAACCAGGAAAACATTGAGAAGAATCAATGAAACAAAGAGTTGGTTCTTTGAGAAAATCAACAAAATAGACAAACCTCTGTCCAAACTAACCAAAAGACAGAGAGAGAACATGCTAATTAACAAAATCAGGGATGAGAAAGGGGACATAACAACGGACTCTGAGGAAATCAAGAGAATCATCAGGGCATACTTTGAAAATCTGTACTCCACAAAATTTGAAAATTTAAAGGAAATGGACAATTTCCTGGATAGATATCACTTGCCAAAACTAAATCAAGAACAGATAAATAATCTAAACAGACCTATAACCCCTAATGAAATAGAAGCAGTCATCAAAAGTCTCCCAAACAAAAAAAGCCCAGGCCCAGATGGCTTCAGTGCAGAATTCTACCAGAAATTCAAAGAAGAGCTCATTCCAATACTCGTCAAAGTATTCCACACTATAGAAGCAGGAGGCTCACTGCCAAACTCTTTCTACGAGGCTACAATTACCTTGATACCCAAGCCACACAAAGACACAACTAAGAAAGAGAACTATAGACCAATTTCCCTCATGAACATTGATGCAAAAATACTCAATAAAATACTTGCAAAC